GAAAACGGAAGTTCGGATGCAAAAATAGGAAGTTTTCTCGAAACGAAACACGACCGTGTTGAATGGCAACTTCTGCGCTTCTGCACGGGCTGGACACGGGCGAGTTGCGGATCGACACGGCCATGTTTGACGTCGACACGATCCGTGTCAATTGTCTGTAAGAATTTCTTCGTTTCCTTGCCTTTGCACGACCATGTTTGAACTCGACATGGTCGTGTTCAAGTGCAACTCGAGCTGGAAGTATCTTTATCGTTCTATTCCGGTCCAATATGCTCCGAAGTCCTCGATTATGTTCCTCTGGTGTCCATAATGCGTCTATTACCTGTCCAATCACCAAAGAATGCAGAGGAAGCAAAAACCAGTGCTGAATTGATCCTAAAGGTCTAATAATGCATAAAACTGAGGCGAAACCGCTGGACAATGAACTTTGAAATAGAGGAGAAAATCGTGTTATCAAACTCCCCCAGACTTATACTTTTGCTCGTCTCGAGCAAACATATGATGGAAACATAAAACGCATGAGGAGGAAGCAAAACAGATGATCAGTCAGAAATCTCCATGAGTTTCAAAAGCGAAATCTCTCTCCTGTATCGACTAACCTTGAATGAAATCAAACCTATCCTATTCAGATCTCCATTCCAACAAAATGATCATAGAACTACAAGTCGAAACTCATTACCCAAAACTTCAAAGGGGATTTCAAGTTATCTACCAAACACATTTCTCAAACCTATTTATCGCTGTCTACAGGAATAGTTCGGTCCACCTGGGTTTGGAATGGGTCTAGATATGGTGATGGGAAATCGAGATTCCAAATATCAAGGGCAAGGGGAGCTCGAGAAGCAAGGGGGAACGTCCCTAGACGTGTCCTGAAGGTGTTCACGTCGTTCGGAGCCACGAGGAACGCACACAAGCTCGGACAACTCAAGAACAAGGTGAGTGGCTTGAGTTGGATTTGTGCAATCTCGTTTTCAATGTTTAATGGTGCATTCGAGATTTTCCTTGCGTGTTTGAGCTATAGAACATGTTTAGGGTTGTTAAACTGTGTTTAATTAGTGTTTAGAAGCCACCCCGAATTGATTCGGGTGAGAAAAATCGAGTTGAAATCGGAGAAAATCGCGAGGAAGAAGAAGGTTCCAGTCCCGGTCCGCCGGACCATCCGTGGTCAGCTCCGGACCAGGACTGGAAAACACGTGCAGTCCGCCGAGCCACGGGAAGAGAAGGCGGACCGAGGGAAGAGCACGCCCGGTCCGCCGGGCCAGACTCTGGTCCGCCGAACCAGACATGTTGAAGGGAGCCGCCCACCGTCGGACCAAGGGAGCGGACCGAGAGAGAAGGATCGGTCTGGTCCGGGGCTGACCAGTCCTGGTCCGCCGGACCAGACTTGTTCTCTCTCGGGCCGACGGACCAAAAATGACGGAGCGGACCAGGGGAAGAAGGAGACCTGGTCCGGCTGACCAGAATCCGGTCCGCCGGACCAGACTCAGGAAACTTAGAAAAAAATGGGCTTCGGTCGGGAAGGAGAAAACGACCCTCGGGGTTGACCCGGACCTGACCAGACTTGACCG